CGACGATTTTTGAAGTAAGGTTTAGTTTCGTTTTTTATTTTTCTCATTCGTTCATTTTATCACTCAACCTTTTAAATTATTCTTCTATTAATTGATTCGTTAATTCATTCTATTCATTAATTGAATCATTGATTTATTAATTCATTCATTCACTCATTCATTCAACCAATTATTCAATCATTCAGTTAATCATTTATTCGATCGTTCCTTTGTTCCTTGATTTACTAATACGCTATTAAAAAATGTCTACAGAATGATGAGAGGTGGGCTGTGGTGGGCATCAGCACGTTTCAGATGGAGGTCTCATGATGATCGTTCCGATGACAATTCGAAGATAACAACAACGACGGTTTTTGAAGTATGATTTAGTTTCTTTTTTTTATTTTTCTCATTCATTCATTCATTTTATCACTATCTTTCAAATTATTTCTCAGTAAATTTATTCATTGATTCATTCTATTCATTCATTAAATCATTGGTTGATTAATTAATTAGTTGATTTATTCATTCAACCAATCGTTCAATCATTCAGTTAATCATTTATTCGTTCGTTCATTTGTTTCTTGATTTACTACTTCGCTAATTAATAAAAACTTGTCTACAGAATGATGAGAGGTGGGCTGTGGTGGGCGTCAGCACGTTTCAGTTGGTGGTCTCATGATGATCGTTCCGATGACAAATGGAAGATAATGTTAAAGGTAAATTTGTTTTTGTCTCATTATATCTTTGAAAGTACTCGAATTTGAACAAAGATTGAGTGTTATCTCAAAAAAGATAAGTTGCCTATTTTTTTCAATTGCTTGTTTTTTATTTTAGTGAATTAATTTTTTTTTTCAATTTCTTCTCAGTATCCGGTCAAATTCATTCCATCGATGCGTGTCAGATGATGGTCGGTGCAATGGAGGTTCGTCGGTAGTGAGTGAAGTTTCTGGAGAGTGCGCGCCCGCACATTTACATACACACACATCAATACAACACATACATACACAACATCCATTCATTCGGTGTCGTTGTTGCTATGTTTCTCTTCAACTTTATATTTTCTTTACCGTGGACCGTGCTTTAATTTAATTCATAGGTAAGTTAGGGACTGAGATGAGTTAAACAATTGTAGGTAGGCTAGGGCTTAACATTAGTTAAAAAGCTTCAAGTAAAATAAAATCGCTAAAATATGTTAAATAAAATACTTGAAACATCTAAAACGAGAGATACAAATTTGTAGGTAAGTGAGTTGAGTCAATGTTTATAAGTAAGCTAGGGCCCTGAGAGTAATTTTATTATAGGTAGGTGACTGACTATTATTCTTGCGACTTCTTACTAGTTTTGTGTGATGTGTTTGTTTTCGCTTCACAACACCACACCAACAAAACAAACTACATTTCATTCTCGTCGTTGCCTTAAATTGTACCTTTTTGAACAATCTTTTTAATAATGTCTATTTATTTATTCATTAAATGTTGACTGGTTTCTAGTTTTTTTAAAATTGGTTATATAATTTTTGGATATTTCTTGATTTACTTTGTATATATGCAAGTATAAATTATTTCTGTTTAGTATGTTGATTTAATCATTATGATATGTTGTGAACTGTTCTTACTAAATGTTCCTGTTACGTGGTTTATTATCCTTCGAGAACTTCTAAGGAGTGTGTATGATAATAATAATAATGGATAATAATTATTTTTATCGGTCGATATTTTGTTGTATTTGTTTATTTAAAATACGAATTTAAAAAAAAATTGACATTTTAAAATTTTAATTAACCGTCACTTTTCATTTTTGAATGAATTCAAATAAAAGCAACTACTGTGTTTTTCTTTCTTTACTAAAATCTCGAAATTGTTTGTAGATCTGTACGGTTAACTGTTTGTTCGAGTTTGAACAGGCCTTGCAAATTTTTTTAATTTTTGTTTATATTTTTGTTTATTTGGTTCATTCAATTTAGTTGATTGATCGATCGGTTGATTGATCGGTTGGTTGATTGATTGGCTGACAGACTGGCTGGCTGGCTTGCTGGCTGACCGACCGACCGACTGACTGATTGTTTGATTAATTTATCTCATAGTATTGTATACATGAGAAAAAATCCGATTAAACCAACCTACGGCTTCAGTAAGCCACTGTTTTTCACCTGACATAAGCAATTTCTATATCTATACTGACAAAAATAATTGTGATATGAATATATTGATTTATTTAAAGCATTATATGTACAAAAAAGTGCTATCGTAAGAGTTCTATGAAATCCTGTAAGCCACTGCTGTAAGCCAACGTATGATTTCAGCAGCCAGTTTCTTATGAGCACAAGCAGAATGTAAAATATTCATTGAATATAATGAAGATAGTTGTTCAAATAACAATTTTGATTTATTTAGGCCGTTTATTTCATAAGCAAACCAATTTTTAACATGATCGAATAGTGTAAAAAAAAGGGTGACTATAGTTCAATCCTACTAAGCCAACCTACGGCTTCAGTAAGCCACCGGATTTCACCGGACCAAAAGCAATTTTTTATATTCAAATTAACAAAAATAATTTAATAATACATAATTCTATTAATCATTATTAAAATTAAATAGAATCACTACAATGTTTTAAGCATATTAAATCATGTAAATATTTCATTTAGCTTGCTCGTTAAAATCCATGCAATTTCGTAAGCCAACAATCCAAGCACGACAAATAGCCCGACCGATAGATCGAATTGATCGATTAGTCCTATTATTCTAGTTATGTGGTTTGGAGCAAGGGGAGACATTACTGAAAATAATTAAAATTTGAAAAAATTGAGATTCTTTGCATATCCCTGCTTCAACACACAAGGTGTTGTATGCTGGTAAATAGGTCTCCCCTTGATTTAAAAGTATATAAAGAATATTTATGTCTAAAAGCAAGCTAAAACAACAGTTGTGCTGCGATGTTTAGATTCACCGGATGAATAATTCACAAAGTGAAATAGTTTAGAGCGCTTTTCTTAATTTTTATTTGTGTTGTAGTTTATCATTTTATTTACGATCGGTTGCGATATTTAAACTAATTTATAACCGGATCAAAGTGATAATTATTACAAAATTGAGTCTTGTTAGTGAATTGGTGCTTATTTTGTCAGTTGTATAATATAATCGTTTTTCATGGGATCCTATCTAAGCGCTCCCGTCAGGGAAAAAGTATCTGACGATTGGAATGGGGATAAGTTGATTTACGGTGCTTCCTCTATGCAGGGATGGAGGATCAGTCAAGAAGTAATTCAATTTTTTTTTGATTTTTCAATTTGTTTTCTACATTTGAGATTAGTTTGTTTATTTTTTTAATGTTTGTAGGCTTGTTTTGTTTAGTTCTTTTTCAAGTTGATATTTTTTTAATGATTAATTTCAATTTTATTTTAATATAAAATATAGGATGCCCACAATTGTTGCGTAGACTTTGATCAAGCTTCCGACACATCTCTGTTTGCCGTTTATGATGGACATGGGGGTTAGTTAGTGGAAATTAAAATTAGCTAGAGATTTATTATAAATTTAAATAATATCACAGATCACTAGGTCTATTGTTTATTCTCTTATTGTTATTTACTTTAATTTCAATAAAATATAAATCACCAGGGGCAGAGGTGGCTCTGTACACAGCAAACACTTTTCCAGATTTTTTAAAATCCCATTCACTGTACAAGAAAGGACTCTTAGATGAGGCTTTGAAGGAAGCCTTCGTAGATTTTGATGCTACCCTGACTGACGAAAGTGTTGTCAAACAGTTGAGAGACTTGGCAGGGATTGATCAGGTGGGGGATAGAGAGGCCGAGGATGAAGAAGAAGGTGGGTTTTTTAAATTCATTACAACGAACACTTTTTTTAATACAAAATTTGTGTTATGAATCTTGAAAACTTTTTAGGATTTATGACTTCAATGAAATGCAATGTTTGGCATTTTATTTAAATTTTAATAGTTGAGTTTTTTATTATAATATTTCTCAGATAAAAAGTTTTTTGATAAAGTTCAATTAATTAGATGTGCAACAGATAATAAAATTGAAATATAACGTTTTTTTTTAACTGGAGAAAATTGATTTCAATTCATAGTAACTTCTGAAGTATCTCTTCTAAGGGAGGAAGCCACCATGCCAATAGACAAACTGATGGAGAGGTTTGCCTGTGGGGCTGTTCCTACCAGCAAACTGCTCACTAATCTTGCAAAATCAAAAAAATTTCAATCGCCAACCATCAGACCAAAGAAGCCAAACCTGCTGGCTACAGGTGATGCCAATGGCGACGATGAAGAAAAAAATGACGATTGTTCTGTAAGACGTTTTTTTATGAAATTTTTTCAATACTAATGTTATCAATTGTGGATAAAAAATAATTAGTTGATTTTGCCATAAGCCACTCATTTAGGTTATAGTTTTTAGATGAATAAAATTATTCCCGTGCTAATTTCTCTAACAGGTGAAGTCAAATATGAATGAGAAGACATTAAACGGGGTAGCAGCAGAATTTGGTGACCAGACCTCAGAGGCCACAGATTCAACAAAAAACCTCCCCTCCGACGTCAACAATTTATCAAAATCTGAACTTGACGACCGAAATATTGTGGACAGTAGTAAAACAGACATTAAGAAGGATGAGAAAAAGGTTGAAGTCAAGGTGAGCTCCTCCGATGTTGACATGCAGGTGGAAAACAAAACTGAAAATGCCAACAAAAATGAAGTAGTAGTTGGTAGTAGTAGTGGCTGCAGTAGTAGTGGCAGTATTATCAACAAAAAATCCAATGATATTGTGTCTGGTGATAGTAAAGGATATGGAAGCAGCAGTAGTTGTGGTACTGGTAGTGGTAGTAAGCTTAAAGGTCAAGGATCTTCTGAAGCAGAGGTTAATAGTTTTGTTGCATTTTTGGAACCAATTATTTCAAATTTCATGTCAATAAATTATTTTAATAATCTCTGGATTGTAATTGTCAGGCAATTAAGGCTTCATGTTCGACTGGTAAATCCAATGATGATGATGACGACGACGATTCAGATGATGATGAGGACGATTCAGAGGCTGAGATGAACGATGATGACGACGACGACGATGAGGAGCATGACAAATGGAAGGCTCCAGAAGATAGTGAAGATGATGATGATAGGTAGGTAATTTTACTTTGAAGAAGATCAAAATTTGTGATGATGAAACTGATGTTCTGTGATGATAGTGAGATTAGAATGATGATTGCAAAATGATAATGGTGGTTGCAAAGGTTTCAATGTTGGTCAGATGTTGATCATGATGTATCTCGTTTTCATGCTATTATTAACCAGTGCATGTGTTATTCTTTATTGACTGAAAGAATGTTGTCAGTCATTTTTAGACTAAGGCCAACACCAAATCCATTTTGCAATTTTTGAAAATTTGTTTTAAAAAAATGTTTAATTTTCTTTATTCAGTGAAGAAGATGATGATGAAAAAAGCTTCATAAAGTTATTCAAAAGTTGTGATGACGACGACGAGGAGGAAGATGGAGAGGATGAGGAGGATGAAGAGGAACACGAAGATGTACTCAGCATTGGGGATAAGGTTTAACTAATTATTGAGTCTATTTTTTCTCAGTTTCTCAGTGCTTAATTTTAAGCACTTTTTGGAAAAGTTCACCTAGTGCTTCTGCAATATTTTTTTACTTAGTTTGTTTTAAAATTTTCAAGTTGAATTGTTTCTAAATAGAATTACATATTAGAGATAGTTTTTCATCTAGACTGAAATCAATGAATTAAACATTTTCACCTAAATTGTTCTTTTTTTAATATTGACTTATCTGTCTTTTTGTAGTAAATGAATTAATGATGGTTTATGTATTGAGAGCATTTAAAGTATATAATGAATTCATAATGCATTTAATAAAATTGTAATATATGTCAAATAAAGAATAAACTTCATTTTTCTTAAAATAAATTTCAATAATTTGAATGCTTTTCAATAATTGAATTGTTGAAAAGCCTGGATCAGATAGTGGATGCACAGCTGTTGTTGCCTTGCTCAGGGGGAAGGATTTGTATGTGGCTAATGCTGGAGATTCCAGGTTTGCATCTCTGTGTGTTTATGTATGCTTCCGTGTGTTTGTGTGTGTGTGAGAGAGAGAGAGAGAGAGTTTATTTAGCTTCTATAGAAAATTTGATTGCCTCCAAATGAAATTTTGTACTCTCTTTTTTTGTTTTTTTTTTCTTCTATTCTGTGTGTGAGAGAGAGAGATCTTATTTAGCTTCTGTAGAAAATTTGATTGCTTCCGAGTGAAATTTTGTACTCTCTTCTTACTTATAGAATAGTATTTGTTAAAGAAGAAATCAATCAAACGTTATATAGCACTTGTGAATGTACACATTAAGAAATTTTTCCAAAAACGTCATAGGTGCGTCGTGTGTCGAGGTGTGAAAGCATTCGACATGTCCATCGACCACAAACCGGAGGATGACATTGAGACGCAGAGAATTCACAAGGCGGGTGGTAAAATAACGTGCGACGGTAGAGTCAACGGGGGCCTCAATCTTTCCAGGGCCATTGGTATATAATTGTTATTTGTCTCATTCTATTGGTATTTCTTTAATTTTTATATTTATTTTATTTGTTTTGTTATCTATTTATTTATTATTATTATTAATTTTATTTGTCCTTTTTGTGTGTTTCTTTCATTTTCATTCTTTTCACTGTGTTTTTGATCTATGCTTTGCTTTTGCTTCATTTCTATGTGTTTTTTAGCATAAAAAATTAAATAAATTTAGATGCATCGTATAGCTGTGATTCTAATCGTCACAATGATTTAGTTATTGGTTAATTGATTGATTAATTGGAACGGTTGATTGATTAACAGGCGACCACGTTTACAAACGCAACACAAAGTTGGAGTTGAAAGATCAGATGATAACAGCTCTACCAGACATCAAACATATCACACTGACCGATGAAGATAAATTCATGGTGCTTGCTTGTGATGGTATATGGTAAGTAAAATTCTTTGTAGTGTATGTACACATCATTGTTTAGAAACTAATTTTGTAATTATCGAAATTTTTCATGTATCACCTAATAATTGAAGAATTTATCCCAACTTAGTGGCTAGCTGCAGTAATAGCTGTAACATTTTTGTGATGTATTCATCGACTTGTCAACTGAATTAAAAAGAAGATTTAAATTAAAATGAAGTTGATAATTAACTATGGTTTGATTCTAGAGGACAACTTATTGCTGTCTATTGTATAGTGTCTTATATCCATTGTTATTTATACTTTTGGTTTTTGAATAATCGAAGAAGGTAAGTCTGCTCATTTCATGTAAGAATTTTTATTAATTTGCAACGTCTTTTTCTTTACACTCACTAATTTTCATTTCTCTTACTTTCACTCTCTCTTTCACTCTCTCACCAGGAATGTACTAACCAGTCAGGATGTAGTAGATTTTGTATTGAACAGACTGCAACGAGGAGCCACCAAAATGTCCGCCATTTGTGAAGAGGTCAGTGAACTTGCAAGAAATCAGGAATTATTTTTTACTTATTTTACCATTGTTCTTTTATGAAGCTTTTTGTTTTTGTTCTTCTGATTTTGTGTTTTCTTTACCTTATTTTTCTAGTATTCTATGTATCCGTTGTCTTCAACATATTTTTTTGAGTAATTCTGTTATTTTTTAAAATAGCCAGTATTGTTTATTTTACAGCTAATCGTTGCGTATAATTACCAATGTTAAATTTTGTAATTTTCAGTTGTTTGAGATGTGCCTGGCCCCGGACACATCGGGCGACGGAACCGGATGCGACAACATGACGTGTGTCATCGTCAGGTTCAATGACGCCGTCGTAGAAACCGACCACACAAACGTCCTCAAAGCTGACGCGATCGTCGAGGAGATCACCAGCAAAATCGAGAAGGAGAGAAAGTTAAATCAAATTAAACAGCAAATCATCCTTGGTGGCGAAGAAATCATAAGTGAGGCTGGCGTTGGTTTCAAACAGGCGGTCAGCAACGGAGCTGTTAAACGCAAACAGACCGACGTCGACGACGGCAATGAGGACGACTATGAGGATGAAGATGTCGGCGCTAGTGGTGACGCCAAAAACGATGACAGCCGGAAAAAACATAGTGCGAATGCCAAAAGACTGAAAAAAGATTTAGAATCCAGTGTCTGATATCATTAGTAAATGCCATTTCAGTTTGCTGACTGTATGTTTTTACTTATGAAAAATACTTGTACACGTACATGTAACGCGTATTTCATGTTTTATTATTTTTTTCAATTTTTAATTATATTCCATTTAATTGATTAATCTATTAATTATATAATTAAAGTCAGTAAATTCATTATTCTTAATAAAAAAGATGGTTTAATAAATGGTAGACGAATTTATATTGATGTCCCAAACAGTTTTAAATTTGATCGTCGTGTTTATAATTGGTCGGAAATTTTTATCTAAATTTGTTTAAATTATTCTTTCCCTTGTTTTTTAAAAATGTTATTAATAATATAATTAAATTATTTGATTTTCATTATATAAATAAATGACACTTCTTAAGACTGATTTAATTCAATTTGCTCTTTCTTTTTTGATTTTATTAATTTAATTTGATAATTGAATTGAGTTAGGAATTTTGGTTAATTTAATCTTGATCTACATATTATTTAGCATCTTGCACTCTGTTGTACATCCTCTTCCTGATTCAGCTGACTTAATTAATTTTAATTGCTATTAATGGAGGGAATGAACAGAACATTTAGAGTATTATTATTTAATTTCAAATCAATCTCCTTTTAATGCAAAAAAAAATCTAGTTTATTTCTACATGAAAAAATGATTTAAAAATAATAATTCAGACAATAACAGCCACAAGTGGCGTTTTGTTGCAATATATGTTATCTTGTATTGGTAGTGTTGTCGTGCACCCAGAGTACGTTGTCCGGCCAACCATACCAATGTTTCAAACTCAAAAGGGCGCCTGTAGTTATGTGCTCGGCATGAAATCCTCGTGAATTCAACGTACCTATCATCTCATTCACCATTGTTTTTTCGTCGTTTTCGTCGTTATGTGTTCCGTAATAATTTCTAACATGTTGCCATTCCATGATGATGTGTGTTATTTGGACCGTCTTGAACAGTTTACTACTTTTCCTCATAGCTTTGTGTTCATGGCCTTCTATGTCTATCTTGATGATGGCTCGTTTGAAGTTCGTTACATCTAAAAGGTCGTTTAGGACTATGTTCTCAGCGTGCTTCGGGCATGTTGTGTCGTCACAGTACTTGTCTGCATCTTGTGATGTGAGTCGTACACCCCCCTGGTTGTCAAGTGGTATCTTCAGTTCGTATGTTCCATGTCTGTTAGATACCGCATTTCTCAACACAATAACCTTGGGATTGCATTTGAATTAGTGTCAGTAAATTTTAAAATTAAATGTCAATTTTTTTATAGTGCAAAAGATCTTTCATCACATATAGCAGTCAATGTATCTTCATAATTACTGATAAATAAAATTGCTGGAGTCAACTGTAAATTTAGTTTCGTATTATGTGAACAATGTTATAAAACTGAAACTTGCTAACCTCATTTTCCAACTTATTCTTCCGCAAGGCTTTCCCCAGCTCATACAAATTAGGCTGATGTGGTTCCACGGCGACGACCTTGTGACCCATACTTGCAGCGACCATCGTGTAGACACCGATGTTAGCACCTATGTCATAAACCCCAAGATCAGAATGGGCTATCAAAATGTCCTTGAACCTGTCAATCATCTCTTTCTCCCAAATGCTATCTCGCTGAAGTTGGAAGGAGATATGGATGTCGGTGTTCAGATCGTGAGTGCATATGTAAGGCTGGTATGGTTCAACTTGCATTCGAAGGCAGTTTGTGAAGGTATAGTCTATGTACATGTCTGGATTGTAGATGATGCAGCTAGATCTGCCTCCTCTCAGCTGGCCGAGTCGTGGGTCTGTTATTTATGTGTATGTGTGTGTTTGTGTGTGTGTTTGTATATGTGTGTGTGTGTGTGTATCATTCAGCAATGATGTTTTAATATTTTCGAATAGAGGTTCATGAAACAAAAATATAGTTTTGTAGAAATGTTGTCCAGGAACCTGTAAAGTACCTCTTACTTTTTTTTCTCTTCCATTTTGCTCCACTGAAGAATTTTGAGACTTGGCAGGTTTTATTAGGAGAGGAGGAAGTTCTTGGAATAAAAAATTTGCGAGTTAGTTATTAATTTAATGCAGTCATAAGTTGTCTTTAGAATAAATTTTGAATCGATACATTCTACATGATGTAAAACTGTTGTGAAAATGAAATGAAGGAATGAGCTCAATGATTTAACTCAAATATATAAAAATTAATAATCGATCCATCATCAACCAACCATAGGAATCAAAAACTTTCTTTTTTGTATTTCTAAACGTCTCCTCATCGTCAGGATAATCGCTTGGGTGTGCAATCTGCCATGCAATGAACTTGCCGGGGAAGGATTCATTAAGTGAGATCATGAAAATTGTGAGCGTGATCAGCGAGACAATGATAATTAAGATGAAGGTTTCTATACTCGGTCGAAATATTCTATTCATTATTGATTGGACTAACTTAAAATGTTTTTATATTTGCATTTGCTTGACTAGAGCTTATAAGTGAGATTTTGCCTTTTAAACTCATGTTGCAATACTTGCTGTGTTATTGTTTTCGCTTATTCAGGTGAGATTTTTTGCAAAGGTGTTCACTAGGAATGCTACAGCTCCTTCGTTGCTATGGAAACTTTTTTGATTTTATATTATTAACTATGTATATATTCTACACAAATGACTATAACACATGCCGCTGTATTAATACTTTTTTAATTTGAGAATAAGCAAATTAATTTGTCATCTTTAGTGGTAATAACGTTAATCATCCCATCGTACTCATCTGGTTTTAAATATAACTGGTAATAACGTTAATCATCCCATCGTACTCATCTGGTTTTAAATATAACTGTATAAAACTATAAAGTTAATAATTTTTGGTCGAGTTCAATCGTTCCTCAGCCACCATTTCAATTCATTCATGCAATAAAAAACTTGAAATGTATGCTCAGTCAATAGTGCGAAGAAGTCCATATACCTTGATTCAACCTATATAGTGGAGTCTGTATAAGAGATGTGAATCGAGCCGAACTCGAGCCTCTTGTATCGCACATGCAATTGCCCATCCCTATTTAAGAAACAAGGAGGCGAGTTTCCTTGAAACTCTTGCACTCTAACTCTTCGTTGTTTAGTGCCGTTAATTTGCACAGTCCAAAACTCACTTTCTATATTTTATTATTATTAAGACCTACTTACTCTACTTACCTACTAAGGCCTACTTAAGACCAAACTAAAACTTTGAAACAGTTCAGTACGTGTCGAACAAACTGTCCTTACCTTGCTTAACCAAAATGAATAAAATCTATGGTGTTGCAAACATTGCGCATCGTACAACTGAAAAATGCATCTGTAATGTGAACATTCAACATTAACATAACAAGGATTATATTCGTTCAGAAGATATCTCTGTGTGAGAACCACTGGATCGATTTTGACTAATAATATGAAATTAAAATTCCAATCTTCCAAGTCTGACTTTGAACTCTTGCGTTTTAGAAACTGTTACAGTTTTTTCTTCCAGTTTGTTCTAATGTTCAATAAAAATCTACCTTTTATTGTTCCTACCCTTTCTTTGAAAAGCTTTTACTGGTGCCCTATTGTGTTTCTATTTTTTGTAAATTGAAAGAATAGGGATGAATCTATCTTATCTTTACCCGTTATGATTTTGTACGCCTGAATGAGATCTCCTCCTGTCCTAGGTTCATCCAAAGTTGTCAGTCCACATCTCTTTCCTCATGAAAGTCTTCACAATTGTTAATCCTCCGGATTTGGCCGTCTTTGAACTTTTTCCAACACTTCTTTGTTTTCATTGCCGATATAAGAGTTGTAAAACTCATGTTGTAATATTTTATTACAAAAGTTGTTGATCTGATACACAAGTCTGTAGGTGTCGTAGAAACACCCATTGTGAAATATTTAGATTTTATTAACTTCAGCCATTTTTTCAATTCCGCAATGTGTATGTGTTTGTAGTGTTTGGTGAATTTTAATGAATCGGAAAAGATAGACGGTAATGTGGAAAATGATAAAAAACGACATACACGTGCACAAATTTAAAAAAGTTAAATCTCATCGAATAGTTAGTTAGTTAACTAATATTTCCGCAACTCATCACGTGTTAACAAAGAGATTTAAATTATATATATATATATATATATATATATATATATATATATATATATATATATATATATATACATACATTCCAGTCGATCATCGTGGTCACACCCACACACATACACCCACACTCACACATATATATATATATATATATACATATATACCATACACCTGAATTTGTATATGGGACATGGCGCAATATTTTTGACAACAAAGGGTGCGCTTCGTTTACTTTACAGAATACGGTCAAAACGTTGTCTCGATACGTGATAACTCAGAAGAAGTAAATTACCGATCATTTTTTGGTTTATTCGAATAAATTTTGAAAGATAAAAGTACATTTCGGCAGTTACGACTTAATAAAATTGAAATTTACTTGTGTTAATAGCTGTTTTAATAAATCAACAAAGGATATTGGTTTCTTTTTTCATCGGTCTTAAAAGAAAGTTCACTGGTTTGTTATTCATTTTATTATTTTTTAATTCATATACTGTATTATTTTTTTAAATGTAACATCTAAATATTTATATAATTAAATATCTAAATGCCCCCTTCTTTCCCATTTCGCAAATTTTTAAAAACCAAAAACAAAACTTTTTTCAAACGGACAAATATTAAGAACGTGGATTTAGTGCCAAACAAAATAAAAATCTAAAATATCTAAAATGTATTAAAACATCAATATTAAATTACACAGCTATAACAAAACAATTTTAAACATGCTTACGAATATTCATGCATACATACATACATATATATATATATATATATATATATATATATATATATATATATATTTTATATGAAACTTCTTTATAGCTGTCTTGCTTGCACGTGATTATCTTTGTCTACGCACACGTGTGTGCGTATGTGGTGAATGAGTTTCGATCACATGCATATATATAGTTTATATATATATATATATATATATATAACATGCAATTTCTTTACAGCTCCATTGTTTACACAATCAATCAATCAATCAATCAATTAGCTTATAAAGCGCTATTTCCGCGATGTTCAACAGCGCTCCTCAATGAATTTTGAAAACAGATGGGCTCTGAACTTTGCAAGTCAATGAGAAGTAGTCAGAGAAGTAGGTAGAGAGTTCCAGAGAAAAGGACCAGAAAAAGCAAAAGCAAAAGTTATCTTTGTTAACGCACATGCAAACGTGTCGAATTGCATAGATCATTGACATTTTGATCAAAATTGATTTTTTAATTTTGTTCATGTATATGTTGTTTTTCCATTCCCGTCCATCATTCCCGATTACCGAACAGTGATTCCCTAATTTTTCCGTTCCCGAAATATATGTTTTACCAATTCCCATGGAAATCACGTTTTCCGCTTCTATCTAACCGAACTGATCTGAACTTTGAAAAAGGAGTTCCATTACCATCTGTAGCCTTTGTATGTGATATAAGAAAGTTTAAATAAATGGTTGTAAATGAATAAACATAGGTAAATGAACATAGTTAAATAAGGTACTGTATAATATAGATCTGTGAAGGTTGTAACATCAGAAAATGAACGTAGATGTATATATATATACATTATATATATATATATATATATATATATATATATATATATATATATATATATATGAACTGATAAACTGATGATGATTCATTCGGAATCGAAATATGGCCTTATTTGCAGCATGAATTCGGAAACTAAGTTTATTTTGACTTTTAATAAACTAAACGTTCACCAAAAAACTTTAGTGAGAAAAATTGAAAAAACGAACTACAAACAAATTAACGCCAAACATTCGGTAGAATTTATAGAATATTGTAATATATATATATATATATATATATATATATATATAATGGGAAAGAGTAAAAAGTAATTAAAATTATCCAAATAATAATTTTAGTGAATATAGAAAATCAATATATGACCATTGCATTGTAGCCTTCTAATCTGAATTCATATTAATTGCAAAGTTTTAAAAGAGTTGAAAATGAACATGGATGTAGACGACGTGGAGGGCAATGATGTTTCAACGGTAGAGCGAATGGTACTAATTTCAAAATCAGGAGGTCGTCATCCGGTTGACAGAAACATGCTTCTTCGAACCAGTGAATATTTCCAAGGTTTGGTGAACAGTGGAATGAGAGATGCCCGTTATAGAGAGCTTACGTTCGAATGTTTAACAAATGAATCCTTAATAGAAGTAAGAGATTATTTAATCTATTTGTCAATCAACATGATGGGAAACAAAGGTCTTAGCATAAAGTCGTTGAATGAAGTAGAAGCAGGGTTAGATGGTGCCTTCTATCTACAAATGAATGATATGATTGATAGATACATTGAGATGTTATTGAAACATTTGAACGAGTCAACTTGTATTCGTATTTTGGACATTGCCAACAAATACCTTCTAATTGACCAAGTGGTTAAAAAAGTTATTGAATACATTTTGAAGAATTTTAAAAAAATTTCAGACAGTTCAAAAATATCATTATCACCAGACGAAATGTTTCGCTTGGTTGCTTCAGAGGAAATAAATGCAGACAGCGAGATGGATATTTTCAATCTGATAATCAGGTGGGTTTCGGAGGATCCGTCCAAAAAATATTTCGCTGAAAAATTGTTAACCGAAGTGAGGTACAGTCTGATGACAACCTCAGGGAGACAGAAATGTACCGCCATACTTCATGATCTGAATTTAAATATCTGCTATAATAAAGATAAAGATTCAAATATTTCTCGTACAGTTGGTAAGATATTTGCGGTTGGATCAACTGAAAAAAGGGTGTGAATTTAATTTTTTATCTACAAATAAGTTGCTGCCTTTACATATTTTCAACTGATTATAATTTATTGTTTATTTGTTTATTTCAATACCAGGATGGAACTTTCTTGAATATTTTGCCAGTTTATGATTTTGTTGAAGCATGCAAGACCAATGGTTACGGCGCTTGGCAAAAACACGTCAATTTCAATCCATCAAGTAGAAATGGTCCACAAGGTGATTGGATAGATTACAATGCCTGTGTGCTTGACAACTGTTTGTATTTGGTCGGAGGGAAGCGTTCGGTCACTTGTAAAGTTTTCATGTACAATCCGGTTACTGCAGTCTGGTCCGAGGTATACAATTTTTAAAATTGTATTTCTATCAACACATTCTTTCTAATCGTAACGTGTAATTAAATAGAATAATTCATTCTTATCAATAGCTACAGTAGCTTACTAGTCAACGATGATCGATAATTTTTTATTTATTAGTTATTTATCTCTTTATTTTATTAAAAAATTTGATGTCTTTCATAACACGTCTTAAATGCAGTGGGTACATTATTGTTCCTTATTTTAATTACATTTATCTTCTATTTAACGCATTGTACTTTTGTTGTTGTAAATTGTTTATTATGAAATTTACAAGTGCTTTGGTTTTATATTAATAATTATTATCTAATAAATATTCAGTGTCGCAGCATGCATTTTCCGAGGCGTCATTTCTACCTGGGAAACCTAGCTGGCCATCTCTATGCAGTTTCTGGTTACACTAAATACATCAAAGGAACTTCAACAGTTGAAAAATACATACCGAGTGAAAACCAATGGCACATGGTAGAACCTTTACCTCTTGCTCTACCATATCTTGCAGGTTTGATTAATTCATCTTTTTCTAATATTGTAATTTAAAAACGGGATAACAAACTCAGACAGAAAAAACTAGTCGTTATACATATATTCATATATATTACATGCCATAACCCAACTTGCATATCCATCCATTAACAGGCTGTGTATACAATGGAATGATGTATGTCAGTGCCTTACATTTTGTTTACCGGTATGACTCTTCTTCCAACAAATGGCTTTCGAGGGCTCCCATGTTGACGGCACGCTCCCACCACTGTATGACAAGCACGGGGGATAAGATTTTTGCTTTTGGTGGTACATATAAGTCGATTGATCGGAATTATAATGCATTGGTTGGAATGCTTAGTTTTGTCGTAATAACTTTTTCCATATATTTTATTATTTATTAGTAAAAATTAATGAATTACATCATTTGATTATTTGACTTTTTCAATTTTTTGTACAAAATTATTTCAAATGTGAAACTTTATACTAAGCAATTTTAAATTTCAAAAATAATTCAATCAACAAAGGATGGAGAGATATATGATGTAGAGAGCGATCAGTGGACATATGTGTTTAAGCTGGTGCATCCTGTTTTTGATTCGCCATCCATTACTATCAACAACTGTCTCTACATCTTTCAACAAGAGTCGAAGTTTCCGAACAACGTATATCGTGTGATTCAAAAAATTTTTCTGACGAAGTACTTGAAGGGGAAGGAAACGCCAAATGATTCAAGTTTATCACCAGCACAAGAAGCAGTGAAAGGGAATTTACCTGGCAATGAGGATTGCCAAGTTTTTAGATATTCTAAACGTCACAAAGGCATTTTGACACCATTTGATTGTCTATACGTTGGTGTCATGGTTATACCGGATAGTTAAATGAAGTCACTGAGAGATCAATTTGATTCATTTTTCTCTTTTCATTTTTTGTAGCATAATATTTTAACTGTCATCTATGCTTTTAATCCTGCGTAATTTAGAAAAATTTAAAAAAAAACTTTTACTCATTTATTATTCAAGAATGTTTCTCTGAAGTTTTATAAAATTTCATTCAAATTGAGTCAACTGCAAATGAGGAAATATGACCTCACAATCCTGATCTCGAAATTCTATCTGACACGACCATCTCGACATGATTCCATACTGTCATGAAATAATAATCATAATGAACAACTAGAAATATGTGTTATCCATTTATATCTATATAGTTATTTAATATCGGTTATTTTACAATATTTTAAACTTAAAAATAATTAACGCTCTCAGTCTAGGACCATCATTCGATAACCTGTTTCAGATTATGCGTGTGGTAAGTTTGGACAAAGGATAAACTATTACAATTTAAGAAGTTTAGTTTTTTTTATAAAGAATTATAGAGTGAGCCATTAAAAATAGAATTTGCTAGTTTTATTTTGTCTAATCGCCATTAAAAATAGAATTTGCTAGTTTTATTTTGTCTAATCGCTCTTTTAATAAAACCGTTTGACTGGATGAAAGGTTGGTTTGTAAGTGGAGGCCCGGATTAATATTGAAATACCTCGGGAGATATGTACTTACACTTGTAATTGTACGTAGTTTAAAGATTCACACAACATTTTATGAAAATATTTCATTTCTTAAATGATGTTTTGTAAAATTATGCCCGTGTTGTAACTTTTACGGGAAATTAACTCTTGAAAATTTATCCGAAGTTGAGGATTGATTGTAGGGCATTGTTGCCACTTTGAGTTTTTCAGTTTTTCTGTTTTAGAATTTTATTACATAATTGAGACTCACATAAATAAAGAACAAATAACTGAAATTTGTCACAGTTTATCAAACACGACTTTTTCAAACGTAAAATGTAACATCGAATTTAGCGCTCCCATCATCAATTTAATTGGACAATAGCTCAGCGATGCATGGTCCTCTGCGTGTGCCAGGGAAATTATTTTGTATTTATTTGTTTTTATTTATTTTCTTTTTGCAAAGATAAATTATTTATTATTAATTTTAATATTTTTGCAAAAAAAATAAAAATACACTGCACCAAAATTATACATGAGAAACGATGCATGGAGATGATTTGGCGTTAATAATCAACTAAGCAGGCCATAAATATCGTGAATGGATGAATGAATGCATGAATGAATGAATGAATAAAAGAAAGGATAAAAACGAATGGATGGATGAACGAATGAAAAATTGAAATGATTGATGGATGGATGGCTGGCTGGCTGGATGGATGGCGAGATGGATGGTTGGATGGATGGATGGATGGATAAATGGCTAGATGGATTGATGAAGGGATAGATTGATAGGTAAATGATTGAATGAATGAATATATGAATGATTGAAAGGATGAATAAACGAATGAATGAATAAATGGATAGATGAGTCGATAGATGAATAGATGGATGAATGGAAAAAATGATTGAATGAAAGATTGATTGAATAAATATCCTGAATGAATGAAAGTCATTTGATTCACATATATCAAAATATGTCATAAGATGCTTCGGTGACGATGATAATAAAACTATGATGATGATGACGACGAGGAAGAAGATGATGATGAGGAGGAGGGGGATGGTAGTGATGATTTTTGCTAGTAGCGGTTATCATTTAAAACTGGAGTGGACAAACTTTTTGCAGTGAGGGCTGCATTTAGAACTATTTTACTCTTGAACGGCCGCATATGTACTTAAATAGCAAATTTTTTCTACCCGGGGGAGAATTTTTTAAGATTTGGGGTTCCTTTTTTTCTGGCTGGCAACCTTTTTTGCGGGCCATATAATAAAAAAGCTTCGCGGTCCACATGCCGTAGTTTGCCCATCCCTGATTTAAAATCATTTCAGTGAATGAATAAATGAATGAATGAATGATTATAAAAAAAAGAATTAATGAATGATTGAATGAAAGAAAGAATGCATGAACGAAAGAATGAGTGAGTAATAAACGAACATACCAACGAGCAAGCAAATAGTTATATATAAACAAATAAGATAAAATTAATATTCATACGGCATATAAAATCAGTGCTTATTATCTTTACAATTGACAGAACTTTTGAACTCGTATTTTTTCAGATGCCTTGAAAACAATTGTAGTAGACAAAAGATACGTGTGTGAAATAATAATAACCTTTCGACGTATCCATCTAGATGTACACAACATACACACAAATGAATACACGAATGAATAAATAAATGTATAGAAAATATATATGTATATTCATAAGTGTGTGCATATGTGTTATGTGTGTTTCTACGAGTATGTGTGTGTATGTGTGCGTGCGTGTTTGTGTGTATTAAGTTTATAACCATTCTAGAGTCACCAGATTTTGTATTACAAATAAAACAATTTTTTTTAAATAAAATCAATGCATAAAGCTTATAGGTTGTTTGAAGAACATCGTGTCGAAATTTTCATTTCAACGCTATAACATACAAATATACCTACGGTGTATGTCTATACATTCATATAGGATATACGCTGGATGTGTGTGTATGTTAACGACTGCTACCAGCTGTATAAATACAAAATCCTCTGCCATTTTTGCATTAGTGGATAGATGATGGAATAGAATATTGCGTCGTTATTATTATTGTTGTTATTACGTTGGTAAATGTTGCTTTTGCTGTTGTTGTTGTTGTTGTTGTTAGTGTCATTGATGTTGCGGTTGTTGCTGTTTTTGTTGATGTATTTGATGTTTTTGTGACTGTTGTTTCGGTTTCACTTTTTAAAATCGTAGTTTTAAGTGTTACAAAATATTTTCTTCATACATATAGTTTGTGACGTATATGTTACTTGTTATTTTACATTTTGATGACCTACTCAGTAGTTTTAATTAGTTTTCTAATATTTAAGTTTAATTTAGTGAAATTGTAACAAAATTTAACAATAAACTCACATTAAATTATCTGAAATAAATCAAATTTGGTTCTTCAACAAAAAAGAATAAAGGAAAACAATGAGATCCGTTATGCAAAAGAAGAAAAACCCCAACGACAACAACAACAACCAACAAATGTCTGAACAGCCAGAACTTTTGAAGTGCATAAATCTCGAAAATATGGATGTCTGGTCTACCAATTTGTCATTTGACAGCGGTCATTATCATCGAGTTAAACAACTGCGACCACAACTGCAGCCACAACTACAGCCACAACTACATAATCAGCCACAGCTACAGAATCAACCGAAACTACAAAATCAACCACAACTACAAAATCAACCACAACTAGTACAAAATCAGCAATCAACTTTACCATATCACCGACAACAAATTTTTAAAAATCAACAAAATGTATCTAAAGATGCTGCTAAGCAATCTTTAACGCAGCACTTCAATACTCTTCAATATTCCAAAAATCAACATCAACAACTACAACATTCTTTACAACAACAACTGCATCGACAACAACGACAAAATATCACCCCACAACAAAACTCACCAACGAAAGCAACATGTATTCATTCGTCTTGCTGCACGCATTTCAAAAAGCCTTATCAATTACAGGATTCGTTTAGACCGTCGTTGGATTCAAATAGACCGCCGCTAGACTTGAATAGGCTGCCACTGGATTTGTATAGATGGCCACATGACTTGTGTGGACCACTATCAAAAAATATGACTCTACCTTTAAATGTCTCAAACAACAATGCCGGTTTCATATCTGATGATAATTTGAATGAGGATGGAAAAGAAAAGTATAACAAACATCATCTCATTCATGCAAAATCGTTTACAGATTTTGATCAACTGGATTCTGCTAAAGGAGCTACTTGTTGCGGAGATCGTTGTTGCCACGTTGTCGTTGATGACATCATCATGAACAACAACAACAACAACAACAGTTTTGTTGATGAAATATGCAACAACAATTTCAACAACAAACTTGATACCAGTCTGAATAATAACGCGAAGAGCAACATTAACTGTTGCAACAATGAATGTAGCAACAACTGCAGTTGCAATTTTAACCACGAGACGTCGTTTAACCAGCTCAAATGCAACACGTCTAGCAACGAAATTGTCTATGACATCATCAACAACAACAAAAACCAATCCAGCAACAACAAAAACATTTTCGGCAATAACGTCGACAACAACTCATGCACAAGCATTAATATGATCAGACGCAATTATTCTATACCGTCAATCGCCGACCAATACAACAACAACAACAACAATAATAATAACAACAACACGGCAACTACAACAACAACCAGCAATACGCCCGACACTGAACAACCACAACATCAACATTTGCAACAACAACAGCAGCAACAGCAACAAAATCTACCGATATATTTTGTGAACAATGAAGTAACCAAATGTGATCCTAGAGACGAAGCCAGGTAGGAATGCAGCGATGTTCTTTTCTCTCCACACTTTTCAATTTACTTTCTTCACATCCGATCACTTTTCTGTTTTTTCAAATTTCGTAATGAAAATTTTTAAACAACTCTTGCACAGTTTTAATCATTTGTCTATTTGATTAATAGTTTCTAAAAGAAAATTAACATAGGCAAACAAATTTTTTTTATTTCTACGGCAAATCATGCAGTGCAGAAAACATGGCCCCCACAAGTTTCGTCTTCATCATGGATAGATTGAGCAACGTTTGTTGCCGCAAGAAAGTTGAGCAACACTGCAACATTGTTCGTCAACATCGCAGCAACAACAACCGCAACAACAACAACAACAACAACACCAGTAACTACTCCGACAGAGAAAGCAACGACCACGCGTTCGCTTACGTACGTGAGATGACGTCATACACGCCTTGTCATTTTTGCAGTTTCGGTCAGTGTATGGAAAGAGGAAAATCACGTGATCTGCGGAATGACGTCATTGAAGAAGTACATCTGAAAGAAAATTGTGATGACGAATCGAAGAGAAAGAGCAGCGATATGAATTCAAAATTGTCGTGTTTCCGTTCCCTTTGTAGTCGCTTTCAGCGCTGCTGCTGCTGCTTCAATAATTACAACCACAAAAACAAAATCAACAACCAACAAGCCAACGATTTCGTTAAAACAACAAACACAATTAAAACAACAAGCATTACAAATGTAAGTGGCAGCTGTATAAACAACAAACACACAACCACCAAAAACTCTACAAATTATAATAGGAACAACAAAAACAACAACAAACACGACGACGACAGCAACAACAAATACGACAGAAAGTACGTCGTGTGTTCGTGGTTCCTCGTCGGTATTGTGGCGAGTATTTGCGGCATATTCGTCGGTACTCTCATGCAGAACCGGCTACTGTCCGTACGCGGGAATGCACTCAAGTTCAGTTAGTTTCTTTTCATGAAAAAAAAAAATTATAGCATCCATAAAAAATATAACTACATATTGAAATATAATAACTTCGTCAACAACATCATTTGTAACATGAAGTAACATGGTAGAACGTAACGGAACACGGTACAGTAAGTGGCCTGTAACAATATAATATTATTTACTACAAAACTGCGTGTAAGCTCAGTCGCTACCGGTACAATGTCTCATGGCGTTATTGCGCGATGACTTGGTTTGAATGCTGCCTGTACGAAAATCAAGCTCGAATGATGAGGTGCTTGCGTGTGCAGACAAAAGATGTGTATGTGCGTACGTGACACACGTGCGTCGTGTGGCGTGGATGTCGCAGTCTTTTGTGGCTGGCACGAAAGTTCAACTGTAATCATAGAACAACTTGTAAGCGGATCAGTTCACGTCGAAGTTACGTAATGAAAAAACAAAAAATAACACAGCACGAGAAGAAGACACAACGCAATATAACTTAACACAAAACAACAGAACACAAAGCGCGCTATAACACAATATGACACACTATAACACAATATAGTACAATATAACACAATATAACACAATGTAACTCAATGCAACACAATGCAACACAATGCAACACAATGTAACATAAGGCCATGAAGCCGTGCAGAGAAACAGAAGCTGGCTTGATGAGCGTGAGTGGGATTCCTTCTCATCCGAAAGATTAGTCTCATCATATTCACGCGATGACGATGACGACAGAAATCTTGATGGCAATGAAGAAGATGATGGTGATGGTGATGAGGAAGATGATGATGATGACGGCGTAGATGATAAATCGGCTTCAAGTTAGATAGATGTTTGAAATGTGCCTCGCTGTTTTTAATGAATTTTACAATGCGATATTCTTGTTTCTATGTTTGTTTTCCGCTACGCAAATAAGGTTGTTGTAATTTTATTTTAGTTACGTAATTTTTTATTTGCCATGTCAAGTACTTTGATCAAAATATCCATTTATCTGTAGGAAAATCTGTTTGCAACCCGGTGTGAATTAACCAAACTTGCTGAATTCTTTTCGAACGGTTTATTAATTTTTTGTCTCTAGCGCAAATGATTAATACATCAATGACGTCACAATATTTCAATCCCACTCCTGCCAATAGGGAGTGCCTGAACGACACGTGACTGAAAAAGGCGGAAGTGACGTTACACGTGTAGTATGGGAAGCGAACAGCGAAATTGATTAAAGTTTTTTTTTCTAACGATTGTTTATAGTTGCAGCAGTTGCAGTTGTAGGTGTGGGGTTGCAACGATTTGAAACTACTTCATGAAATAATTTTTGTTCTTTTTTTCTGGCTGTAGCAGCAGCAATATTAGTAGTGTATGATAATAGTAATAATAATAACAACAACAACATCTTTGACGTAGATTAAGCTATCATGAACAATGACAACACTTTAGTTTGGAAGAAATAATTAAACCGTAATAAGAAGAGTCATAGCATAAAAACACAACACAGCCCGCATAAACTCAACAACAATATTACCAACAATTACAACAACAGCAACATCAACTGGTAGTAATTTTTTTGAAAAAATAAACAGCTATACTCGCAAGCGGCACTATTTTACGCGTCCAATTACTTGATTGCATATGCCCACTGCGGTCGTAATAATAATAATAATAAAAGCTTATTGACAGTAGCATTTATATGAAGCAATCTCATCAGATGAGCCAATAGCTGAAGCATTAGGACGCGCGAACTACTTTTCGATCTTTTTTCTGCCTTTTAGTTTTTCTTTCCTTGTTTCATTTTTCAAGTTTTTTCCTTTCCAACCGTTCAATACAACTCCGTTTAAATTTGATTTTTTAACTTTTTATTTTGATTAAATTTGACCAACAAAAATGAACAACACAAACAAACATATTAAAAAAAGGGGGATCAAAATAGGCCATTAAAACCCGTGATTCCTCAGAGGTACCATCAGCATTTAAATCATTGAACATCAAGCTAAACATACAAGTACAACTGCAAGAGACATCAATGATTCCATCGACGTGTATCCATTTTAAAAAATGCTTAACGATGCTACGCTGGGTTTTCCAGAGGTTTATTTTCAGATTGACGTCTGGGTTTTTCCCGGATTTTAATGGATGTTCCCATTGTGAGGACCGCCTGGTCACGTGATGATGGTGCGCATCCTTTTTGCTGATGGTACGATTTTCATCATTGCTTATGTGCTGGTAAATTTATATATATAAACATGTATATATATACATTTCAAAATTCAACACTACTTTCAACATTGTTCAACTTTTTTATATTTCTTTTATCTTTCTTTTTAATTTGTTAATTTCAGAGAAATTAGACATTTTATTGTTTTTTAAAAATTTTTATTAAATAAATTTGCAAATTTATTTAATAAAAATTTTTAAAAAACAATTTGCAAATTTATTTAATAAAAATTTTTAAAAAACAATAAAATGTCTAATTTCTCTGAAATTAATAAATTAAAAAGAAATATAAAAAAGTTGAACAATGTTGAAAGTAGTGTTGAATTTTTGAAATGTTGCGTTAACAACAGTCTGTTACCAAAATATATATATATATATATATATATATATGTGTGTGTGTGTGTGTGTGTGTGTGTGTGTATGTGGTGTTGTGGGTGTATGCGTATGTGGTGTGTGTGTGTAAAATTTGAATTATAATTGTCAATTTGGAAATATCAAAAATGAAACACAAGAGTAGGAGATAATGTGAATGGGAAGATAAATGGATGAATGGAAGATAACGGATAAGAAAAAAATGAATGGAGAGAGAGAGAGAGAGAAAAAAAAAGAGAGCCAAGCAAATAATAAACCAAATTAAAAAACATTTAAAATATATATATATATATATATATATATATATATATAAAGAAAGAAAGAAAATAAAAGAGAGAGTGAGAGAGACAGAGAAAGAGAGGAAGAGCAAAAGCAAAGATTTATAGACACCTTCCAAGTTGCATGCAAATTGAAATGTCCATTGAATTTATTGCAAGAGAACACTAAATATTATTTCCCTTCTATGTTCGTGTGCCACTGCTCCCAGTTCAGTCAGTTCGTTTTCACTCTCTCTCCCTCTCTCTCTCCCTTTCTCTCTCTTTCTCTCCCTTTCTCTCTCTCTCTTCTCTCTTTCTCTCTCTCTCTCTCTCTTTTATCATTCAAATCAGTGTTATTAGTTATTACAATAAATATTGATAATACAATTCATAAACTTATTATATGTAGAAATATATTTTATAAATACGAACACATACATATGTGTTTTGTGTGTTGTGTGCGTGTATGTATGTGTGTGTGCGTGTATGTGTGTGTATACGTATGTACGTGTGGTATAAATAGCGCGTAATGTGAATGTACGTACGTTTTATAGGATATTATTGCCTGTTTTAAGGTGCGTGTTAAAGTGCTAACGGTGCTAAAATGAAAATAAAATAATTCACCAGTCTGTGTCTGATGTAATTCTACCACCTATATATATATGTATATATATATATTTATATATTATATATCTATATATATATATATATAATAAATAAACAAAAATATACACACGCACACGCACACATGTTGATGTTGAGTAATGTATATATATATATATATATATATATATATATATATATATATATATATTTATATATTATATTATATAATATATATGTATATATATATATAATAAATAAACAAATATATAAAAATATACACGCACACGCACACACACACCCACACACATGTTTATGTTGACTAATGTTAACCTTCTCTGACTCTTTGATATGTATGTCTCCTTCGATAGCATTTGAAAGATGTTACTTGGTGGTTCTCATTAATTACGCATATTGCTCGTTTTTGTCATGTTTATCAGTTGGAGAAGTATTGTAAATTTTTATTTTGGACAGCTTTGTATACGTATATGTGTATGTGTGTGTGTACGCGTATGTGTGTGTGTGGGTGTTTGTATGTGTGGGTGCGTGCATGCGTTGTATGTGTGTATTGTACATATGTGGTGTGTGTACAAGTTTGTTTTTGTATGTATGAGTTTTGCTCGTGATGGCATTTTAAAAAAATGTTGTGAAATCTGTTGTGGAATTGGTATTTTTATTATATGTTTTTTTTTCTTACAATTTGTTTGTAAACATTTTAAACAAAACTTTTGCTGGTATTATTGAACCTAATCAATCATGGCGTGTTATTAATTAAATTCTTCTTCACGTCCTTGAATTCGTCTGCTACATGCAGCGTCATAACAACTATGGAATTGTTGATAACGCGAAAAAGTTTCCAAATATTAAACATAGGTGAGTGCGTGTGTGGCTATGTGTGTGTGTGTGTGTGTGCGTGTGTATGTATGTGTGTGGCTGTGTATGTATGTGTGTGTGTGGCTATGTGTGTGTATGTTGTGTGTGTATGTTAATGTGTGTCTTCATACACATACAAATAATACAAGCAAAAACACATAAAAATCATTGCGCGATTAAATTAACTTATAAATAAAAAAAATTGAAGATCTATAAAAAAAAGCAAACATGTCAAAAGTTTAAAAAGCACACACAAATAAATATAAACACACACACATACATTTATACACACACACAAACATCCAAATAAACACACACATACATTTGCACATACACACAAAAGTTTACAAACATACATTAATACGTACATACCTCACACATACATACGGCCAATGTCTATTGTCAGTGTATGAGTTCAACCTGAACACAGCAGAAAACACGGAAAATTAAATCCACCGTTATAGGAGAAAATGGCTTGGTCTGTCTGCGGGTTTGACTTCACTTAACAATTGTTAAAAAATAATTTTATTGTAGAAAATAATGATAACATTTTTACAATCGTCAATTCAATTATATGATAAGTCAAGCTTCCATTAACCAGTTAATTAATTAAATTGATTTAATTAGTTTAAAATCCAATCCTCTATCATAAGGTACCTATTCAATCACACTGAAATTAAGTTTAAATTAGGTTTGAATGATTTTTTTATGAAAATAAAGAAAAAAAAATTGCCATACTCTGACTGCTATACTGGCAATTTCGCCTTAAGGACATTTTAATTGTTACAATTAATCTTGATTGATGGATGGATTATTGGATGGATAAACGAATGAACGAACAAATGAACGAATTAGAAAATGAATAAATGAATGAGTGGTTATACTTTTTTTTAATTTTGCAAGTTCAACCTGTTTGATTTGATAATTTTTTAATTTTATTTTTATAAAATCAATAGAGTATCAATTTTAATGATGATTGTAATTTTCATGATAGTATGAAAAGCTTGTGTTTGCAGTCGAACTCTATGAATACGTTTTAGGATTTTATATAGAGCCTGGTGCTTAAACCATTCAGCTACTGCTGTTGTCTCGTTACCAAATCAATTTTTATGTGTAGCATCTATTGAATTCATTAACAAATAAATTGCAATGAAAATTACAATATTTTGAAATATTTAGAAAAATGTATTTATTCACTGTTTACATAAATCAGAATTTTTCTTGATATGTATTTGTACGCTGGCAAACAAAATGCTCGACATTTCTGCCCTTAATATTTTGTAGTCGGCACCACTAAGCAAACCAGTAAGTTTGTTTATTTGTATATTTTTATGTTTGCATATTTATGCGTTTGTATGTTTGTATATCTGTATGTTTGTTTCGATACATGTTTGTCAATGTTAAATTTGTATATTTTTATTATAAAATACGTTTATCGTATGTGTGTATTTTACATTTCTGTCAGATGTTTGCATGCTTCATACGTTATTTATTGGCACGATTAAGTAGTCGTCGCGATTTTGTGGCCACTGTCTGCGCGTGTGTGGTAGTATGTGTGGTCGTATATGTGTGTGTATGGTGTGTGTGTGTGTGTGTAGTTTTGGTGTGAGATGTATGTATGTATATCTTTTTAAAGATTGTACGTATAGATACAACTTGTATAAAATTATTTTTTGAGAAATTTAGATACACATCTATTTAAAACACAATTCATTTTTTTACAGTGCGTTTATGTTTATTGCTTAGAAAAAAATCTGCTTTCCATAAACGCTCCAATCATACATTTTTTTTACACCGAAATAAAACCACACAAGTATACAAAGATAGACACAAATACAGACACGAATAAAAACCGACACACACAAAGACAGAACCGCGCAGGTACAGACAGACAAACAGACAGACAGACAGACGGGGACAGACAAACACACAGAAAAATACAAGTGCATCCACTCAATTCCCCACTTGCATCATGGCTTATGAATGACAAAACGCCTTCACTCCTCGCCATCTCAGATATATGAGACAACACGCAAAACACACGCACACGCACGCACGCAAAAACATACGCAGTTGGTCTCCAGTGTTAACGCAGACATAAACACATTCTGCCATACCATTCATAACACGTAATTTAAAAATCAAAACACAGTGTCAAAATCAGGCATGCTTACACACGCAACCAGTCCTACTGCCAAACAACTGCATACCAACACAACACAAACACACACACATTCATTTACACAAACACACACACGTATGCTCCACAACACGCACATGCAACACACACACGCACACACACATGTGCAAACACCAACACACAATCTCACAAAACATATTTATGGAATGTTCATCAAAGGCCGGAATGGAAAATCGATCGATGCGATCTCGAGAAAACTTAAAAGCGGCCATTTTATTTGGGATTAGCAAGATGGCAGCCAAGATGTCAGCCAAGATGACGATGTTCTTAAGATCATTCACCCACAGCTGCTCTCTGACGTCAGAGGAGGTTCATGTGAATGAGTGATGAATTTATTTCACTGCTACATGTATGTTGTAATACTTTGTGACACTTTCTCTCTCTTTCTCTTTCTCTATGTGTATCTTTGTGCGTGTCTATTTGTATTGGTTAGTGTTTGTATGTGTATCTCTGGTTGGTATGTCTTTTTAGACCAGGGTGTCTCAGTCGGATGAAAAATATCCGACTCCGACCGACTCAAACCGAGTCCGACCGAGTCCGACAGACATTCTGTTTTAGACATTAAATTGCAAGTCCGAATTGAAATTGAATAAGTAAGCTGGTATGAATGCGAAGTTTTTAACGTGTCATTTGTAGAAAAGCTGCAATGTCTTGCATAAAAAATAGCGCTATAAAAATTTGAGTGATTAATTGAATAATTGATATTGGCTTTTACTAACTTACTTATTAAATGTTAAATGATAACTCTTTTCTGTAATATTTTAAATGACCATAATCGAAGTTACATTTCTATTTCCTTGAATTCCTTGTTTATATGCCAGTTTTTCATTAGTTTTATCAGCTTTATAGTCAGCAATGTAACTATACTCTTCATCTTACAGGGGATCTTTTTGAATTTGAACCTACTCTTTGCAACAGCAAAACCAAGCACCCATTATACCACCCAATTAATATCATGTTCTTTGTTCCAAATATTGACATTGAACCTCTTTTTTTTATTTATTGCTGATTTTGTTTGAAGAAGTTTTAAATTTAATTTTGATAATTTCCGCCAACGGCCTCTGGTTAGTTCGATAACTTAGAAACGACTTTATCTCAAACCCCCTGTTGCATATAAGTTTATTTCTTCTTTTCTTCTCAGCGGTTTTTTAATTATAAGTGACTGATGTTATCACCTAGAGTGAGCTAATAACAATGATAATAATCATCTTCGTTATCATTTGGCCATCATATCTAAATGGTATTATTTCATACACATTCACCATTTAAGACATCGTCGTCGTCGTCGTCATCATCAATCTATAATCATTATAATCACTACCATCTTCACCAACACCACAATCATCATTATCAGTAGCAGCGGTCAGCAAAACAAACCTCATAAAAATTTCTTGACCATTCTGCGTTATTATGTAATCCTAACAAATGTGCACACACACATACGTGGGCGCAATCGCACATCCACACTCGCTTCCCATTGGATGACATTTTATCCCAACCTGACCTATTCTATTTCTTTGGATAAATAGATGGATGAATGGATAGTTGAAAAAATAGACGGATGGATAGTTAGATAGGTAGATAATAAATGCTTGAATGGAAAGCCAGTTGGCTGGTTGGATGAATGGATGGATTGATAGAAGATTAGTTTGATGGTTTAATGAAGGATTGATTCTATTTGGATAGATACATGGCTGGATAATGGATGGATAAAAAATATACAATTAGATATATGGGTGAAATAGATAAATATATAGCTAAATTGATATATGGATAGATAAACAAATAAATTGATAAATGGATAGAGATATAGACTTATAGAACTTTGAAAAATTTTACTTTCCATTTACATTCCTTCCAGTGTGCATAAGTACTTAATCCATTTGTATCATTTTCCATTAACCCATTGTTACCATAATAGCATAATTTCTTAACAATCTCTAATCATACCCCCAATGCATTCGTCATCGTTATTATAATTTTACCCTCATCAACTTAGTGCTACTTTTATCATCGTCATCATCTTTAATAGCATCACATTTATCATCATTCGCGTTATTATCATCATCATAGTCACCGTCATTCTCATCACAATGTAGTGACTTTGACGACGATTTTTTCTTGAAAAAAATCTTCTTCGAGGAAACAAATACAAAACATCACCATCATACAATTAAGGAAACATATTTACTTTGGCAATCACATCACTAAATTATTCAACTAGCTAAGTTTTTCACACAGAAAAAACATTCTCTACCTTCTATCGTATACAATTAATCAACAAAAATATTCACACAAACAGAGACACACACACAAACAGATACACACACACACACAAACAGAAACACACAAACACACACACACACAAACAGATATAATGACAAGTCCAGGTGCATATTTGAAATGATCTCTTGAGTAAACAATACAGAGCATGTACTGTTCTGTACACATGTGCTATTAATACACACACACATACATATAATATACATAATATAAACATACACATATACGTGTACCATGTGTATAATATGTCAAAGGTCACTGTTTAAACATGACGTCATGATAGATAACTTCATGTCAGCTTATCCATTGATCTCTTTGAAAGGTTATAATGTCCGTATTTATTAAACGCATGTTATTGATTGTTTTGTTTTCAATTGTAGAAATAGTATTATAAAGGTAAGAGGTAGAAATAGTAGCACCTCTAGTGGCGTAGTAATAGTAACAGCGTCATCACAGTGTCAATAGTAGTAGAAGCAGTTGAACATCAGTAATTTTAAAAGTAATAATAATTTCTTGTACTAGTAGTTGTGTAGTAGTAGTAGGAGGAGTAGTAGAGTAGTGGCTGGTAGTAGCCACAGAGGAGTAACTGCATTAGTAATGGCAACGGTGTCAGTAGCTGTAGTAGTAGCAGCAGTATCATCATCATCATCATATCATCATCATATCAGCAGCAGCAGTAGTAGCAGTAGTAGTAGTAGCCGCGGCTGTAGTAGTAAGAGATGATAATAAGGTGAGTAGGTAATAGTTGATGGCGGTAAGTAAAGAGTAACTGGACATTATCACGTTGCAGATTATTTATTCATGAATGACGTACCAGCCAACGACCGTACATGTTTTCGTGATTAATTGGAAGACACATCACAACCAGTGCACGCACGCACGCACGCACACATGCACACACTCAAACAAACACACACACACACGCAGGCAAGTACACATACATACGCACGCACACGCATTACGTACAACACATACTTACACGATCCCAGATGATTTCTTCTCTTTCGCTGTTTCTACCTCTCTACATACACACACACACATAGAAGCACACATACACACACACACGTAACATAAAAGCCACACAACAACAGCAACAGGCAAACAACAGCAACATACAAACAGCAACATACAAACATCAACATACACAAACATACACTTATATACATACAAACGCAGGTACATGTATCCACACTGGCACATACACCCATACACATTGCTTTTTTTATTTTCAGTTTTTCTTCTCTCCTACTTGTTATTTAAATAATGAATCATAGTACGACGTCAGAGACTGATCCGATCGCGTCACAGTGACGTCATAATTAAATTTAAGTTTGCATATTTGAGGATGTCATTTTTCGTTTACGTTCGTGCCGGTGCTGTAGCTGTTTTATTTAATTATTACAGAAAATAAATAAATAAAAAGATCACTTAATTGAAATAATTAATTTGTAAAAGAGACAAACTTGCACAACAACAACAACAACATACAAACAATGACATACAACATACAACAACGACATACTGCCAACAACATACAAACAACAACATATAAACAACAACATACAAACATCAACGTACAAATAACAGCATACAAACAACAATAAACAAACATACAAACAACAACATACAAATAACAATATACAAAAATACAAACAACAACAACCATTACAACGACAGTCACGTGGGTAGTTTACAGAAGAAAAAAACTTCATCATTTCGGCTCCATTCATCCTTCGACCAATTTTTCCTCCTCTTACTCTTCATCATCATCATCACCACCATCATCATCACCATCACGGTCATCCTCATCTTCAAAAGCATCATCCACAAAAACATCATCATCGTCACCATCAACATCATCACCCTCCGTATCGAAATACTGTCTGATCGACCAGCCCATGACCTTCCACGAAGCCCAAGGTCGTTGCCATGACCTCCAAGGTCATCTGGCTCACGTGACAGACCTCAGGGAGCAAGTTTTTCTCGAAGATTTCATAGATGATAGGCTGAAATCAAAGAAGAAGATGACGACGACGACGACGGCGGCGATGGGTGGTGGTCATAACGTTGAGGCGGCTGCAACTACCACCATGCGAGGTATTCATCGCGTGCTGTTAAATGTCTGTGCGAAACTGTATATTGTATTTATGTGACGTGACAATGATTATTAATTAGTTGTGATTTTTTGCAGTTTATAATCGGAAACTGGCACACACACACACACAAATACAGAATTACACAAATAATGTTTATTAAAAAAATATTAATTAAAAAGAAATTTTGTAAACACTAAGAAGAGGTTATTTGTTTTGCCGGATTTGCTTATTATGCAAATTTCAATGCATAATAAAAATTATAAAAAAGTTAGTTTCAAGTAGTTTGGCGCTAAAAGTGATGGATTCCTAACCAACACAAGCAAAATGCTCTTACAAGATGGCAATTTGAATGTAAATTGCGGGTTTTTTAATTCAGCAATGGCTGCTTTCGTTTGAGTAAAATAAATAAACGACCCCGACATGATTTGAACACGCAGCCTTCTGATCTGGAGTCCGTTGCGCCACGGAGTCTTGCGTTAACAACTCATAATAACGACTTTGATAACGCTATCTAATCAATTGAAAATTAACAGCTGTTATGTGTTCACATACTTTTATACAAACATGTAACATACATGTTACATACATACATACATACATACATACATACATACATACATACTT